TGATGGACAGAAAAGGAGAATTAGAGACACTAGTATTCATCATCCATTTGATCCCTTGTGGGAAAACCTTAATTCTCTGGGACAGGGACTGAACAACAACAAAAAAAAAAACCCCAGCAAAACTGAGCTAATTTTTCTTTTTGTCCTTCATAGGATGGCCAATTCTTTCTTCTCCCTGGCTGGTACAAATTGGGCAACTGTGGACCTTTTTTCCTCAGAGCGAGATGTAGGATGCGGCGAGGCCGGGATCTCAATCGGGCGTTGATGTGAACAAAGTTAATCCCTCATTGGTGCCGATGTGACCCGAAAAAATCGGCTTAAAGTGGCTCCGTTAAACTGGACACAGTTCTGCCATTCAAAGGCGGCACCATTCCCCTTCTTTTTCCTCTCGTCTTCCCTCTCCCTCCTCTCTGCCACCCACACGCACCAGCAGTAGTGGAGCATTAAGACAAATACATTCATAACCCTGTTTTATTAAAGACTTGGGGCCTCTGGGTGTTGTGTAGGGGCCCTGGGGGGCTGGTGCAACAGCGGGGCGATTAGGCTAAGCCTTCCCATGAGGAACATGAACACTGCACAGCAGCCACTGGGCCCTGAGATGTCCGTTCCCCTCCCACCTCGAAACCTAATCCTCTATTTCATGCACATTAGTGCTGTGTAAACGCTCCCCCAGGCTGCCTTTACAGTGAGCTTCACTTTAGAAGAGAGATGCGCTGCTAAAGATGCTGAGAAGCAGTAATGCTCAGACATATTTTTTCACAGGCACAAGAAAGTGATGGGAAGTGTATAAAAACACCTTTAGACATGCTTTATGTAAAATTTTTTCTGTATAAAATGAACTGGTGCACTTGTGAGGAAAAATATTTAGAGATACAAGAGTCTAAAAGTGATCTGAGGCTGGTGATTTATAAATGGGCAACATAAAAATTAAATATTTCTGACTAAATAAATTAATAATATATTAATATTTCATTTAAAATAGAGCTTTAAAAACTAAAACCAACCAAATCGCTTATGTTGTGGTTTTTCTTTCCCCCAAAATGCTAGTTATCACATTGGATTAAAACTTCGCCCAAAAAACTGGATAATTTGTGAACTTTTCTGGGACATTTTTCCCAATCTTGTTACACTTGAAAGGTTGTGGTACTAGTCAAAAAGGGCTGGCCTACAAAAAACTGCTTATGAATTTCTCAATGAGGCCTTTAATCAGTCAGTTCCAAAAAGAAACAAAACCTAACTGAAAGAAAACAAGACAAAAAGACTGAATCCAAGATTTTGAGATAATATAGCAAAATTAGAGATTTACAAACAAACTTTAAAAGGCCAGCCATTTTTGACAGGGAACACCACATTAGGTAAAGGGCTTTCAGGACAGCACAAAGGTTAAACGCTAAGTGCGCTTAGGCATTACAAAATTATAATGTAGAGTATGAAAAATGGATATTCATTTTGAGATTTGCTATATGTTTAACAATGTTATTAAATTGTTTGTTTAAATTGTGTTTTTAAAGGTTAACATTGCTCTCACTGAGTGTTAGATGACAGCAAAAGTAATCAGCATGTAAAAATGTGTAATTAAATATCAGGTAATAACCTTTATGGTACTAATGTATGTATACCTAGTGTAAAGATTTACTTTAGAGGGGTCATAGGATGCTACATGCACTTTTTGAAGTTGTTTGAACTTAAATGTGTGTTGGCAGTGTGTGTACACAACCACCCTATAATGATAAAAATCCACCCAGTGTTTTCCCCTTTCTCAAATCGAGCCGATCTCAGATGCCTGTCTGTGTGCCCTCACACAGACAGGCCCCTCCCACGATAGTTTGATTGACAGTAGCGTTTCAGCACAGACTGGACTGGTGTCTTACCTTA